GGGCATGGAGGAGGGCACTTTGGGGATGAGCACTGAGTGTTATGTGGAAACTAATTTGACAATAAACTATTTGTAAAAAAAAAAAAAAAAAGAAATCGGTTGCATTCATATAAACCAACAATGAAGCAACGGAAAGAGAAATTAAGGAATCAATCACATTTACAATTGTACCAAAAACCATAAAATACTTAGGAATAAACATAACCAAAGAGGTGAAGAAAGAGGAACGTTGCTCATAGTTGGATTGTCAGGAAGTGGATGATGGTATGGAGTAATTCTATAATTGGGCATCTTAATAAATCTTACCTAGAAGGAAAGAAGACTATGCTGAGGATAAAGCTCTAATTGGTAAAGAAGCAGGAGGCATTCACCCACCTAGGAAGGAGGCACACATGTCATTTTTGTGGCTGTCTGATATTGCTGTTCTATGACATTGTTTACGTTCATCAGGAAAACACCAGAATCTAGGCTGTAAGTAGCAGGCCAGCTGCGGGCAACACCAAGACCTAGTTAATAGTACCAGGCAGCTCCCAGATGCCAGGGCCTTTTCTGTCTCTGTCTTCCTTACATCATGATTTATGACACATTGCTGAGAAACAGAAGGCCATCTGAGACAGAGTGATTGATTCTAAGTGGAACTCCCTGTTAACTTGTAGCTTCCAGAAAATCAATTCTTCTAGAAAAAAAAAAAAATAAGTGTCCTTCTAATGACTGCCTTTGAGTTTATCTCAATTCCTAGTCCCTCACAAATATCTGTAATATCTAGAAAGATAAAAAATATGAAAATATCCAGTAGGTTCTGGGAAGGAAACCAGTTTCTAAGATGCAACAATACCCTCTATTCTGCCCTCAACATTTAACTTACATTCTTAAGTGTAAAAATGTTTAAAAACTAAAAATCATAGAGTGAGGCACCACAATCTTTCTTTAATTTAATCAGTGTCCCTAAATTGCCTTTAAATTTAGATAGGCAGCACTAAAATGAGAGCACAAAGAAGACTCAGGGCATGGCAAAAATTGAGAGGAAAGATCATACAGTTACTATAGGCAGCATTAATGCCATTATGACTTTTCTCATTGTCCCAGATGCAAACACTGGAGCTTTTGAGAACATGATAAGAACTGAACTGGATTTACATAAGTAAAAAGGCAAAGGTATTCCTTAGCTATCACCAGCAAAAATACTCTAGGTAAGTGAATCAACTCAAAATTTGGAGAATTTATGCAATATGGAAGTGGAAAAGAAAGGCAACTCATGTATAGAGGCCAGGAAAAGGGAAGGAGTTAGGATTGCCAGAGAGAGGAATCCGTTTATTGAAGAATTTTTGGAAGTTGTAACCCAGAAAATTCTGAAGAACACTGTATTAGTGTTGATGGTATGTATATATGAGCTACTCAAAAATTCCCCCTCCTTTTGCCACCAGCAAGCATTCGCACCCATAGGAAGATTCAGATTTAACACTCTCCCTCATTTCCTAGATAATTCCCCCAGGTCAACTCTGAATGGAGGCTACATTCCAATACATGGACTTAACAGAAGGGGACTTAACAGAAGGGGATTACCCAGGACACCTGAGTGACTCAGTCAATTAAGCGTCCAGCTTCGGCTCAGGTCACGATCTCACGGTTTGTGAATTCAAGCCTGGAGTCGGGCACTGAAGCCTGCTTCAGACACTCTGTCTCCCTCTCTCTCTGCCCCTTCTCTACTCTCTCATGCTCTCTCTTTCTCTCTCTCTCTCTCAAAAATAAATAAGTTAAGTTTTAAAAGAAGAAGAAGGGGATTTCCCAATCCTTTCCAGACTTCTTAGTACAAATTCTTCAACTGGCAACTGAGATGTCATCATAGGGAATTTTTCTGTTTGGCCAGAGCGTGACCTGGCAAGGTTTGGCTTGGGTGTCTTTAGATTCCCTTCTTAGCTGGGTCCTCACCATTGCTCTGCAACTCAGAACAGCTACTGCAGAGACCCTTTGAGAAGAGTATGACCCTAAATGGTGTTCTAATTCTGGGGATCCTTGCCCTGACCACCACAATGAGCCCCTGTGGTGGTGAAGACATTGTGGGTGAGTGCACAGTTGAGGGATGTGGGGACTTAACTTGGGAAAAGGAATTTGAAGGGAAAGAGACTGGCGTAGGAATAATAGATTCTCCTCAAAGGTGTTCTCAATACTAAAAAGTATGGTCTTTCTTCCTTCCGGAAACTAGAGACCCAACCCACTCTCTTTGCTATCTGTGCTGTTGCAGAGTTCAAGGACATTATTCTGTTTCTAATATTAGATCCACTGAATATAGCCTGGAGGAGTCCATGGCATTCATTCATGATTGCCTCAAAGATTAGGGATGTTTCCATGAATGGGTGTTTTGTTACTAAAATTCATGAACTATTGCTTCCAAATGACTCTGAATATATTTTAAACGTTTTTATATATTTCTTCTATACTTTAACTTGGGGGAAAGAGCTCTATGAATTATGTATACTATGTAGATATAAAGAAGGACATCCTCTTCTTTGCCTCAGATTTACACACATTTTCATGCTGGGAACTGGCAGGGGGATTGAGTACACAAGCCTAGCTGAATAGCTTTAAACAAGTCATTCTACCACATGACTTCATAAATGTCACTTTACAAATCATCAAATAAAATATGTATTTAGAAATGCTTTTCCAAGAATGAAGATACATAAATGCCAATGATCTCTCTTGTTTCCTAATTATTACTATTATAGGTGTGGCTTAACAATTTTTTAAATTTTAATTCCAGGATAATTAACATAAAGTGTTATATTAGTTTGGATTTGCAATATAGTGATTCAGCTATTCCATGTATTACTCAGTGCTCATCTTAATTCCCTTCACCTGTGTCACCCATCCCCCCCCAACCACTTCCCCTCTGGTAACCATCATTTTGTTCCCTATAGTTAAGAGTCTGTTTTTTAGTTTGTCTCTCTTTTTCTTTGTTCATTTGTTTTGTTTCTTAAATTTCACATACAAGGGAAATCATATGGTATCTGTCCTTGACTGACATTTCATTTATCATTTCATTTATCATTACACTCTTTAGATCCATCCATTTTGTTGCAAATGGGAAGATTTCATCCTTCATATGACTGAATAATATTGCATTGAGTGTACACACACACACACACACACACACACACACACACCTCATCTTCTTTACATTTGGGCTGCTTCCATAACTTTTTTCTTTAACAAAGCAGTGGATTTATTTTAAAATTGAGAACTTTATGATGAAAAACTTGGTTAATTAAATTATATTATATCCAAATTGTCAGCTCAAGTGACCTTTCATTCTATCTAATGCAGACCTATAAGAGGAAAATTGGGCAACACACGTTAATTACTTAATCCCTCCTACCTCTCAACTTTCACTGTCCACCTCTTCCCATCTTCTCTTCATGTATTTCTTTATCATCCTTTCCTTCCAGGATCTATCCCTGGCCCTTTTCCCTGTTGTTTGATTGACATGAAGAGTGGGTTTGTTAAAACCAACATAGAAAAAAATAGTTAAGAGCAGAAGTGAAATGGCATGAAAATGGCATGAAAGCATGTACTCTAATTTTCAACACCTTTGTTAATCATGACTACTCCTAATTTCATTTGGTGATGGAAGTTTCACTTGCTTCTCCACAAAATTTCCAATTTCCTTCCTTCCACATCACAGCAGAGTGCCCTGGTCAAGCTCAACTTGCCCGTTAGGTACAGGAAGCACAGTGCCAAGGGACTGCGCTGCTCGTAGGGAATCATGAGAATGTTTTAATTGCTTTTAAAATTAGAAGAAAAAATGAACTTTAAAGGTAGAAGAAAATGTTTTAATTTTTAATCCAGCTTGCATTACATTTGTCTTTGTACCAACACAGTAGCAAACTATCATTTTTAAGATTTTTATGGAAAAAAGGGCTCATGAAAACAATAGTGCTTAGGCTCACAATTCATAATACAGCCTCAGTCACCATATGGTTCTGCTCCCTCTGAGTCTGTCTCCCACCTCCACCCCCTCAACTTCTATGATCTTTGAAAATAGCAACTGGTATTCAATATGCACTTTTGAGCACACAATGAGATAAATTTGTGGGATTCAAAGATGAAAATACATGCTATCTGCTCCCTGGTGCAGGAAAGCAGAAGGACCATTGCTGAGCAGGACAGTGGACCCAGCTGAGGCTGAAACTATAAAAGTGAATTGGTTCCAGTTGGCCCAGCAGGTGTGATGATTGTCAACAGTTGGCAGCCCAGGACAAGTACCAGATGAAAAGAATAATTGCATATATTCGTGTTTGAAAAAGGAGTTAAGGATAAAGGATAGAGGATAAATAGGCTTTGTTGGAGGGCCTTTTAGGTAATCAACCAAGAGGGTCATGCTGGACAGGGAAGGGAGTGCGCTGGATGACATACAGATGAATCTGGAAACCAACACATTGGGATGGAGGTGCTGGAGGTTATAATGTGGTCAAAAACATGTTCAATGAGAGAACTTAGCTAAAATTTTGGTAACTAAGCAGAAACTTCAAGAAGGAATTAGAGATGTCCAGGAAATATAAAAAGATAGCTTTGTGTCAAGAACAAAGACCCCTGCAAAGACCAAGGAACATGAGAGAATAAGCTACTTTGGTTTGACTGGCAGATAAGGTATTTGCAGAGCAGGTGGGACCATAGTGACACTGCTGCTCTTCCCATTGTGGGACTCACCGCAGCAGCACGCTGCGTTTGCTCCTGTACTCACCCAACTCTCCCGCTGTGCAATAAGCTCCCTGACGACTGAAACCAAGCTGATTGGTGTTTTGCTCCCTGCTCCTCATGATGTCTGACATCTTGCTGGTGTTCAGTAAATGGGGAAGAAAATAAAGAGGAAAGGATTAAAAAAAAAAAAAAAAAGCAAAGCTCATATATGTCCTCACAAAATTGTCCCTATAGGCTCACTTGGTGGAATCATACTGCCAAGCTGCCATGCTACTTCAGCATCCGTGCACAAGTACATTGGCCGTTTGAGGAAAAAGGCCATAGTTTACGTGGAGTCCTCAACAGAGAGAAATGTTGAGTCAGGATAAGGAGAGAGGTTTAGTAACCTCCTCCAAGGCAGGGGATAGGGGTGGGAAGAGGGCTGGGGAGTGACAGAAATCTAAAATCTAATAAAGCTTCCACTTTATATTTCTGATGAAATCAAGTGCTCTCCTCTCGGGATTACTACTCAATCAAGGAACCTTAGGAGCATTGTTTATTTTTTATATACTTTGTAATACTGTAACTGTCCTTGTCACACTCTTTCTTATACCCTATAATAGTTGGAAGAATCTCTTTTAAAACGGTAAGTTCCTGTGTGCTTTTCTTTGTAAAAATTAGAAGGAAGAGGAGGAAGAGGAAGGGGCAGAGAAGGAGGAGGAAGTAAGGAAGGTGCCAGGTGCTGAGCTAGCCATGCAGGGAATAACAGTAAACAAGGATGTTGAAATTCTGCTCTCATGGAGCCTACATGACAGTGGAAAAGCTTACTGTATTCTAACTGGACAACTACCAACACTGGGGGAGGGGGAGTGGGTGCTGGGAATTTTGTCTCAAGACTGTGCCAAAGATGAGCCCACTGTACTTAAAAGCCAGTTTCTTCTGTCACTTGGTTTAATACGTTTCTTTTCTCCCTCTGTTGTCTACTTTCTCATCCTCATCCTCACTCATCAGCTGACCACGTTGCTGCCTACGGCATAAATGTCTACCAGTCTCACGGTCCCTCTGGTCAGTTTACCCATGAATTTGATGGAGATGAGGAGTTCTACTTGGGTCTGGAGAAGAAGGAAACTGTCTGGAGGCTTCCTGGGCTTAGCACATTTGCAACTTTTGACCCACAGAGTGCACTGAGAAATTTGGCTATAACAAAACAAAACTTGAACATCCTGATTAAATCCTTCAACTATACTGCTGCTACCAATGGTATGTGTCCACCATTCTGCCTCTCTTTACCAGGTCTCATTCCCTTCTTCCTTAGGGAAAGATAGCCTTCACTGCTTTCCAAGGATCTTTTCCCAGATCTTCTCATAGTAATTACTGAATACTCATCCTCTCCCATCTCAAAACTCAAATATTGCTATGTAATACAACGATCCTACTCCCACACCATGTTCCTTGAATCCCTCAATGAGGGATCCCGCAGGCCTCTTACTTTAATAAGCGTATCCACAAAGAGAAGGCCCTGTGGATAAAGTAGAGGCAGTGTATATATAGCATTTCCCAAGCAGAAGGTAAACAAGAACTCTTCTACCATCAGATGGGGAATTGTTGGTGGGACGGTTCCCCCAGGAGGCAATGCAGAGCCTCTGGGCAGAGCTATTTGCAATTCCTATCAGTGCCCCTTCCCCACCACAGAAGTTCCTGAGGTGACTGTGTTTCCCAAGTCTCCTGTGACACTGGGACAGCCCAACACCCTCATCTGTCTTGTGGACAACATCTTTCCTCCTGTGATCAATGTCACGTGGTTGAAGAATAGGCTCTCAGTCACAGAAGGTGTTTCTGAAACCAGCTTCCTCGCCAAAAAGGATCATTCCTTCTTTAAGTTACCTCACCTTCCTCCCTTCTGCTGATGATATTTATGACTGCGAGGTAGAGCACTGGGGCCTGGATGAGCCACTTCTCAAACACTGGGGTATGTATGAATTCCACTCCTCTTGGTATCTTCTTTTCTCTGTCAAGTCCAGAATATTCTGCTTTTTAACCCCTGAATTTCATGGCCCAAAGCTTGTTTTCCACACTTCAAGGGTTTCTAATAATAGACTTCACTCTCTTCCCTAAGCCTGGTGCCCTATGTCTTCATGGAACCCCTCTGGCTCCATCCCACACACTGCATTCTGACTTCCATAACCTCATTTTCACAGAACCTGAGATCCCAACCCCTATGTCAGAGTGGACAGAGATTGTGGTGTGTGTCCTGAGACTGTCCATGGGCCTCATGGGCATCGTGGTGGGCACTGTCTTCATTATCCAAGGCCTGAGCTCAGGTGGTGCCTCCGGACATCAAGGGCCTTTGTGAGCCACACCCTAGAAAAGAAGGTAAGAATTCAGATTTGTCAGAGCTGAGAGCTGGAGACACAGCACAGAAGGCAGGAGAGTGGGAGGAGTTTGTGGACACAAATGTGGTTGACAGGTTGTAAGAGAATTGGGAGAGGGCATGATGATAGCACAGGAGCCCCCCAGAATCAAGATATCTTATGTCTGTACTGTTGCAGGTACAATGCATACCCACCTCCAAAGCAGAAGAGTGAACTTGATAGATGACCTAGCATTATTTCCTGGCCCAGTTCATCATATTCCTACTCTCTTGTAACACTCCTCCTCTCATCTAAGTCCCTCTTCCCTGGGACTTAGGGTGCTATAGCCTCTGAGAGTTCACGTACCCTTTGGAATTCTGCCTTTGACTGTCTGATTTTTTTTTTCTTTTCTCAATTGTTACCTATTAGGAGATCTCTGGGATATTCCACTCAGTTACCTGATCCCTTGTGACCCTGATCCAATATTCCTTTGGAAACAATAAATTTCCCTTTATGAGATCTTTTAGTAAACTTTTTCTTGTCTTTCATCTCAGGGCTGATGAAGACCATGACCTTTTATGCTTAAGGCCCACTTAATCTCATTTTCTAGATTGTGTTTCATGCCCAGTAACACAGGAGCAAGCAAGTATAAACTAAAATTATATTGATATCTTAGCTAAGGTTAATATTTCTCTCTTTCTATGTCCTACATTTGGGCACTGCCACCCACCCTCACCCAATTCAGTTAAAGTGCTATATGTCCTCTGTCCTTGGTATAGATTTGTTATAGAAGAAATACAAACACCAGTAAGTAAGTTTGTGTTCATTTTAATACAGTTTGAGAAAACTATAACAAAGAAATAAGTTAGGATAAAGGAATTTTGAATGTCAAAAGTACCAGAAGTCAAAATTGTTTTCTAAAACTCTAAAATTTAAATTTGAGAAGAATGAATGCTGATAGAAGAAGCTTGCCTCTCCCTTCCAAATCCACGAGAAGATAAGAATTCTTTAGGCAGGAAAAAAAAAAAAAAGAAAATCAATAGGAGAGCATTAAAATAAGACCATAAAGTGAGTACTTGAGAAGAACCCAACACTTTGTTCTTACTTAGAGTTAGTAATGACAGGAAAAGGGGTGGGAGTAGAAACCACAAACTTCTCTAAGGTTCCTACAGTTTGTCTCACCTCCTACTTGAGTCCTTGCTAAATAAGCACAAAGATTTTCCTTGCCACCATGGCATGTGAGGGACGTAGAGTGACTATAGCTGCAGCATGTTTCTAGGCAGATAAGCTTATGTCAAACTCACTAAATCCCTGTGCATCCCTGTGCACCCTGGGAAACAGCAAAAACGTCAATATCCCCAGAACCCTGCCCCTCATTCTTTCGGGTTAAGGAAAGAATGAGACTATGGAAAAGAAATCCCAGGAGAAACAACTTGGTTGAGATAATAGCAGCTATAGATGCTATATCTTCCTCTAGATTCGTTGTGTCTTAGTGGAAACTCTTGCAGAGGAAATGGATCAACAGATGGAATTCTCTGGCTTTCTTGAGTGTGTCCAAGACTTCATTCTTTTTTTTTTTTAATGTTTTATTTATTTCTAAGAGAGACAGAGACAACGTGAGCAGAGGAGAGTCAGAGAGAGAGGGAGATACAGAATCTGAAGCAAGCTCCAGGCTCTGAGCTGGCTGTCAGCACAGAGCCCGACACGGGGCTCGAACCCACGAACCATGAGATCTTGACCTGAGCCGGAGTGAGATGCTTAACAGACTGAGCCACCCAGGCACCCCCAAGACTTCATTCTTGAAAGTGTATGTGACTTGACTTGGAGTCATTTTGCCCTTTGAAATTGTTTTAGGCACATTGCCTCTTTTCATTCTGCAGCTACTGTGTCCATACATTATATCTAAGAGAGTATTATGGAAAAGCTATAAAATGTATGAGGCTATTCCTATCCATGCTGCCTCTATCAATGAGCTTAAAGTATAATGGAGGGGGGGGAGCAGGGAAGACACAATTTTAACACAATAATTGATAGAACATAGTTTGATGGAAAAAACCTAATCCAAATTCAGAACTCAGCTTTTTATAGCTAGTATTTTAAACTTTATAACACTGACTAAATATATTCTGAGTCATATCTTTCTCATCTGTTAATGTGGAAATGATAATACTTTCCTTGCAGTTATTGACAGAATTGGAATAATCTCAATATATAGATTGTGCCTTAACATTGTACACAAATACATAAGAAAACATTGCTAGTTGTATCCATAATTAATTTATTAAAAAGAATAGATCATATCAAATAAAAAGCACACTACTTTTTCTGAGTCCTTTAATGATTTAGGAGATTCAACCATGGAGCTATGAATGAATTTATTTTCATGAGTTAATGAGAGGATTTTTTTCCCCAGAAACTCAGAGAAACTGAGATTGGGTTAGGCTAAGAGAATACATAGGGTATAGCAGTCAGTGACATGTCATTGGTGGAGGGTTGCTAAGAGAATTCTTAGAAAAACAAATTGTAATATTTGACTTTGGGTTTTTAATCTCTAATAAAAGATGTGTCCTCTCCTTATGGCACATAAATCTTTAGACAAGTTGTGTTGCATGTAACAGATCTTATGCATATTTACTTTGGAGAAAAAGTCAGAAAGATTCAAGGAGACAAAGTTACCTATAAAGTACAAGTAAGAGAATAATTAAAAATAGAGACTAGGAATCAGGAAACTTAGGAAATCTGACCCAGAGGTGATTATGAAAATGTAGGTAACAGAACACAGAGGATTTCAAGCCAATGAAACTACTCTCTGCATGATACCCTAATGGTGGATACATGTCATTACACATTTGTTCAAACTCACAGAATGTACACGAGGAGTGAGCCCTAACGTAAACTATGGAGTTTGGGTGATAATGATCTGTCAATGTAGTGTCATCAGTTGTAATGAATGTACCACTCTCGTAGGGGATGTGGATAGTACAGGAGGCTGTGTTTGGTGGGGACAAGGATATATGGGAAATCTCTGTACCTTCCACTTCATTTTGCTGTGAACCTAAAATTGCTTTAAAATAAAATATATTTAAAAGAAAGAAATGTCAGTAAATAGGATGTAAAATGTACAGAATAAAAAATTTAGAATAAAAATGTAGATCATCTGAAAATACCAAATGTACAAATGTACTCAGAAAGAGTTTTTGGCAATAGGCTTTCAAACAAATGTTATATAAATTTCAATGGTTCATGAGATGAGAATTTGGGCATGGTGTGTGTGTGTGTGTGTGTGTGTGTGTGTGTGTGTGTGTGTTATTGTAATATAAAGCTTATATTGAATTGCATTATGACCAGTGTTCCAGGAATATACAGATACTGACCTATTCAGACTCCTTCCCCATGAAATATTGAGGAAAACAAACAATGAAAGTTGCGCTTTATAAAGTTTTCATATAATTTGAAAATAGAATTAAATTTAATTCAAAAAACAAGAGCAATCATTTCATTTTATCAGCTAAAAGCTAAACGTGGGATCACCACTTGACGTTACTGTAAACAAAGTTAGATTATCAGTCCTCATGGTATTAAATTATGTGATTCTTAAAAAATTATTTGAGTTATTTGAATTATTTCTGATTGTGTGCATAATGTCTGACTTTACTAATATTTAATATTACTATCAGACTATTTTAAAAGATACATAATTAGGAAATCACATTTTTTTCAGCAACGAGTTTGTAAGGAAAAATAGAAAACAGAGAAACTTCACATTTTAAAAAAAACAGAAGAGGGGCGCCTGGGTGGCTCAGTCAGTTAAGGGTCCAACTTAGGCTCAGGTCATGACCTCACCATTCGTGAGTTCTAGCCCCACGTTGGGCTCTGTGCTGACAGCTCAGAGCCTGGAGCCTATCTCAGATTCTCGGTCTCCCTCTCTCTACCCCTTCCCTTCTCATGCTCTGTTTCTCAAAAATAAATAAATTGTGTAAAAAAATGTTTTTTAATAAATAAAAATTTAAAAAACCAGAAGATACATATCAACCAAATGTTAGGCTTTGTTTAGATGCATATTCAAACAAAACAACTGTTAAAAAAAACTCTTGTGAGACATTCACAAAAATTGAACACTGGCTCTACTAAATTATTTATCTAATGTTAGGTGCAACAATGGCATTGTTATGTTTCTAAAAATGTCATTATATTTTAGATTTTCATAATAAAATGTTCATCAATGAAATTATGTGATGTACAAAATTATTTTCAAAATAACCCAGTATTTTATAAATTAAGTGGATAGGTTTACAAAATTATCCATGAATTAATAATTATTAAAGCCAGACTTATGTTGATAGATGGTACTACTCTTTCTACTGCTATATGTAATTGAAATTTTCCATAATACAAAGGTTTTTTTCAAGTATTCTAGGAAACACAAAGAAAAAAAGTAGTCAGAGAAGTATTCTGTTTGAAGTTATGTTGGTTTTTAAGATTTTCCTCTTTTTTATCCCAGTTAGGAAACCATGAGTTTGCAAATCCTGCTTTAGACCATAGACTTCCCAGAAATGTAACCCTAAAGAATATATATGTCACAAAGAATATGGTAAAGGAAAGCAAAGTAATGCTCACCCTATCATTGTATGAACTAAGCCCCAAACTTTGCTAATACATTCATTAGTTTAATCATTCCTGCAAAAATAAAAGTGGTCATTAAGTACCAGTGTTGTGATACGTACCATATACATTCTGAGTCTATTAAAATAATGCGAAAGTAGATACATTCATTGTCTTCACAGAATTTAAATTCCAGTGGGAAGAAATATGCATATATAAAATAACCACAAATTGCAAACACTGAAGAATTTATAAAGGAAAAGAACAAGGAAACATGAATATCACACAGGAACAAAGAATAATTGGGTGGAGGTTAGAGGAGGCTTAAACAAATTCTGAGATGAAATAGATACTGTATAGTATGTGAAGCAAAAAATATAATAATAATCCATTTAAAATA